TGCCTGTAAGGCATCAGTGGAGAAGCTCCGCCAACCCCTCTCTATAGAGAGAACCTTGCTTAAAGCACTACTTCTTTTAGATTCGTTCCTGAATTTTTTCTTAACCCTTTACATCCTAACATCAGCATGTATATTCTCCATACTGTTCTTGATACATTTCCTACGGCTCTGATAAGGAGATTTAAGTTAAAACTCAAGAGCTGTTCAAGTTGATGAGCATTTCCTCGATTTTTCTTGAGCTATATATTTGGTTTAGTAGTGATACCTTAGTGAGAAATTAGATGCTAGTCACCCTCAGAGGTTAAAGGGTTAAGAGTGTGGCGTACCGCTAAAGTAGATTCAAAACACTTTGTTAACAGAGTACTGGCTTCGATTCATAACTTTGTCTGTTATGTGTTGTGATAGGAGGAGAGAAAGGCATGCTAAGACACTGGACATTGCCCAGGAAGAGGTAGGAAAATTTTCGCTTTAAGTCTGTTAGAACTTCTAAGTGGTGTCAATCGGTTGCTTTATGTTGGAGGATGTTCTTTCCACTTACCAATATCGTTTTATTCCCTAAAACTACTTTTCCGCAACAAGGTTAGCTGGTGGGAAGTATCGGTGAGGCTTTTTTCCGTACTAATTTAAAGTATTTTGTTTTCGGTCCATCTTGAAGGTGTTAACGTGTCTCAGTATTCACCTGTGGGAAAGACTTCATCGACTGTGTCAGAAACTGAGGGCTGAGGAGCAAACGTGGCAGATGCTGTTTTATCTGGGGGTGGAAGCTCTATGGAAAAGTTTTGAGGCAAGATAAGAGGCGCTTTCATTTTATTTGTTGACTTTCTATTCATTATTTGCTTGGGAATGGTTGGATTGACCAGAGTTTGAATAGAACGATTGACTGAATAAACAAGAACTGAATTCCTTAGCTTCACGGAACGATCAACGGAAGCTCTAACTGCTAACCCAATCAAACCAAAATCATATGAAGGTATGCAAAAAAGAAAACAAACAAAAAACAGAAATGAACAAACGATCCACAGTAGTTACCGAGTGAAAAAAAGAACGAGTGAACAAACTACATGATCAAACGAAGAAAAACCAGGTTATTTTACTTGTTGATTATCTTTACGGAACTTGACTATAGTTCCAGCGACAAGTAATGTTGGTTGGCGATGTTTTGCGTTGCTTTCTACATGGGTGTCGTTTTGACTTTGTCAGGTAGCGGTTGAAGAAAAGCAAGGCATATCACGCCTGGAACAAGTCGTCGAAGAGATTTCTGAGGCGGAGAGAGCCAAGGAACTCAGAAGAGAGCAGAAGCGATTGGAAAAGAAAGCGAGACGCAAAGAGAAATGTAAATGTGGTACTCACTTGACTATCTCGACAGCGAACAATGAACTGCAAACAGAGGAAACTGCGAAAAACGAGGAGGAATTGGAAGAGGAAGAGGTATGTACAAATGAGATCGTGGAGGAGACAGGGGAAATGAATGGACGTGGCGATAGCTGTGAAGATGATGAAGATGACGGAGAGTGGCGGTTCACCGTGCAGTTGTGAAGACTTGAGCAACTGTGAGCGAAGCAAGAGCAAAAAATCGGGTTTTAGGAATGGTGACTGCGGGTACGTATCTTTTCCAGATTACCAGACCCAGTTGCTCAAAGGGTGGCAAACGCTATCTAAAGGATAAATCGCTACATAAAAGATAAATTCCTATCTAGCGGATAAGTGTGAAGTAAAGGTGCTGGGCTATCCAATGGATAGAGATTTATTCAGTGGAAAGTGTTATCCAACCTTCAAACAACCGGGGCCAGATTGTTAGCATTGAAAACACTTTTCTGTAGCTTGTTACGGAGGAAGTTGATAAAGTACTTCAGAGTTAAACCGACGCTAAAATTGCTAGTTGCCTTTCCTGGTTGATCTTTTGCGCCTTAAAATAAGTATGTAGAAGGTGAGTAGGTGTATATTGTCCATACTTTTCGCTTTACGTTTCCTAAGGAAATGACGAGGAGAATATGTGAAACAATCGGGAGCTTCTCATGTTCTTTGTCCTCATGACCTTAATGCTTGATTCATGGATGATGCTGATAAATTAGAGTCTAGACGCAGTATTGGTTTAAGGATTGAGAAGCATTTGTGCTGTAATCCCAGCTATTTTCCTTTCATTTATTGACTTGAAGTGATCTGTTGTAGGTACGTAGCAGAGTACAATAAATGGTCCAGGATGGTACACCAGAGTGGAGACATGTGTAATCATGGCGAAGATTCTTCGACGCTAGGAGGAGAGGAAGAGGATATATGTACAGATTGTTTGAGTGGGAGCCCAATAAGTGGTGGATCTCCACAGAGCAATAATGGAAAGGGAAGAAAGAAGAAGGGCAAAAACAAGGAGAAGAAGGTAAACATATAAGCCTCCTATCCACACCCCTTCACGACGCTTGATTAGTTTCACTCCCATGAGCGACCAAGAGAGAATTTCTCCTAACAATGTCAATACAATCTCCATCAGACAAGTGATGAGAATAAAGAAAAATATCATTTCAGGGATTATAAGTTGATTCAATATCAAATTCTCTAAACCAACATCGCAAGAACTGTATGGCAGACAGTTAGGAGAATTACTAATGAGATCTTGGGAGTTAAAGGGTTATTGTGCGGTAGTTTCAATCGTCATGCAATCTTGTCACTCTAACCAAGGCGGTCACGCTTTTTTACCGTGTGAAGCTTGTGTGACTAAAGGGAAGATGCCAAATGTAATTTTGCAAATCGTTACTTTGTTCTTCCTCACCGTTAAGTCAATGAAAGTATTCACTCATTCATTCATTCATTCATTCATTCATTCTTGTCTTCAATATTGTTTTTATCTATCTCTTTAGCAAAATTCGCCGAGACATGAAAATCAAGAAAAGCTTGTAGAAAATATTGATGACGAAGAAAAACGGCTCCTGAAGCTAATGGGTTGGAAGGATGGAGGAACAGAGTCAATGGTGAGTTATTTTTAGCTATACTTCCGTCGCTCTATGGCGATTTAGGTTTTCCCTGGGATCCGATAACCTCAAGGGTAGAATATCCCCTGATCTCAAACTTCCTGTTGCGTCACGAGTTGTGTTTCTTGAAAAAGTAAGCTTAAATTTATATAGTCTTTTTTAATTTTTTTGTACAGTCTGCTTGAATCTTCTCCATCCTTAGCTATCTTTACTTCCTCCTAGTTTGTCTTTAACTTAT